GTCGACATAACATTTTAACCCATACGAACTGAGATGTGAATGTATAATGCATGCTTTATGGGTGAACATGAACTAGAAGCCTACTGTCACCATTGGGGCCAATGTAAGGTCTAATGGCAGGGTTAGTCTTCGGGATATTGTTGTTTAGGAATTGAAATTAGTCAATGCTCACGGTCAGTCACTGGGGCTTTGATCTGAGACTACAGCGAAGGCTAGCTTGGGAGTTAATGCTCGGGCCTATATTGAGCTTCGGGTATTCAGACAAACATGACTCTCATCGTTGTGGAAATTATTTCTCAGAGTATCTGCGTGAAGGGTCGCAAGAATTGAGAATGAAGGCGCTGCCGATATACATATGCTGTCCTCTGGGAGCTTCAAAACCTAACGCTAAGCCGGGATCATACACCAGAAGCAAAAAACTAGGAGGATTGGTGGAGCTATCGCGGCACCTCGCGGTAGTTCTTGGGGGGATTTAGCATATATATATATATATATACAGATACAGATACAGATACAGACACAGATACAGATACAGATACAGACATAGATATAGATATAGATATAGATATAGATATAGATATAGATATAGATATAGATATAGATATAGATATAGATATAGACATAGATATAGATTGAAGCACTAGATATTAGGTATAGGCATAGATATAGGTATAGTTATAGATACAGGTACAGATACAGATATTTATTGATATAGACATAGACAAAGACATAGATAGTCTTCTACATTGTGGTTTGATACTACACTACAATGCAGGCAGAAATTCCACTGAAGACGCGAAACTTCACACCTGCCCGAACACAAGAACCCAACGAAACCCTTGTCCCACCTCCGCCCGAGTCCACGAAGTGCACGAGAGCCTCTTCCGGGCCCATTGCCGAAAGAAAAGAGAGAAGCTGATCCATGTCCTCTGGAAGCTGAACATGGTTTACCTGCGCCAGAGGTGGCAGCCCGAAACGTGAAAAAAACTCCGCACTGCGCGGCCTTGACGGTGGAATACGTGTGTGGTGTGCGTAGAGCGTGCAGCGTTGAAAACGAACTGCATGGCATGGACAAACTCCCGAAGTCCAAGCACGAGACTAATCAACCTGCACTAAATCCCGAAAACATGAACTTTGCCACCCCACGATGATATTCGGAAAACGTCGCAGGCATATGCAAGCAACATTGAGTTGAATCTTCCGTTAAACGGATTCGTTTCGGCCTTGGCCAACTCTTGAAATTCTTGAAATCGCGCGAGGCCATGGTCAGCACAGCAAGCTGCCATGGCTCTGGCGCAGGTTGCTCTGGCGCAACTCTGTCAACCGGAACTCGACAATTTGGTACAGTAGCGGTGCCAAGCATAGCATGCACAAGAAATGATGTCCGACACGTTTGCATAATACTTATGACTTGTGGTACGACATGTCGTCCACCTGCGAGAAGAGATGATGCATACGAAGAAGGGCTCTGGATTGCTTGTTTTGAGTATTGCAAACCCACGCATCTACAAGTTCTAGCCGGTTTAGCCAAGCTTTCGACCGGCGTAACATGGCTTTCTCAAAAATCACATTGGCCTCCGAGCAGTTCGCAATAAACGCGGAAAGCTTCATGCAAGCATACAGGAGTTGAGGCGCGCAACATACTGGCAAGTTGAAGAAACATGTGCATGCGCAAGCCCCAAGAATCGAAACGGACTGCAACAGCATGCCCGTCTGTGACGCACACAATTCGCTGCTTCGTGATTGACTTTTCGAATTGAACTGCTTGCACCCCCTCGCCTGCATGTATACGACACACAAGTGCCGAAGCTCGAGTCAGCGTAATCCCCACGCGAAGTCCAAGCACCAGGCGTTTACGAGTCCTACTTCATGACCGCACAAATGAAGCAGTTTGCAGTAGCCTCGCGCAAGCATCACATGCGCTTTCTGTGAGCGCCAGGGGAGCTCCACGCCGGGTCCGCACGCCTCTAAGATAGCCTATAGCATACACTAGCCCCCGCAGCGACAGGATCATTACCAGGGCACTGCAGATGCACATCAAAACAAGGCGGCGCCCACCGGACCGCCGGCCGCGGGTGCAAGTGGCCACGCTCGTCAAGTTTATAAACATACGAGTCTTGAGGCTCATCTGCTAAGCTCCCACATGAACATTGCACCAACCCACATGAGATCCATATGGGAGTTTTATGCGTCGCGCCTGTGTTCCGCACGTGAGCGCACGTCCACAGGAGCCTCACATGAGCCCGCCACGAATCCAACAAAAGCTCCGCTTGAGTCTTGCGCTGGCCCTACATGAGTCGCACGCACAAGAGCTGCACAAGAGTTCAGCGCTGGCCCTACGTAAACACACATGAGCCATATAGGACTTCCACATTGATCTTCCGGCCGTAAAGCGCCGCCCCCTTTCGCGTTTGGCTCCCACCACCCCAAACCGCTGCACCCCCCAACCCCTCTCCTCTGCATCATTTTTGTTTTATGAGCTGGAGAACTTGAGAGAAGACTTTCGTGAACTTCAAGCAGCTGTCAAGATGCAAAGCGCCTCGGTCTGAGAGACACGCGAACGGTCCTTTTTTGGGGCACGATTTTAACCACTTTGCCTGTACACGTCCTAAAGGGAGTGCTCCAACTCCTCCCAAAAAGCCCTCACCACTCTCGACCGGATGCCTCTTAGGCCTGTACAGGTCAAGGGCAAAGAAATGCCCCGGTTGAGGGTCGCCGGGATCGGCTTGAAGGGCCAAGGGGACTTTCCCAAGGGTCATCGATATGAGGACATTGGTTTAAACTTGTTTTCTATGTGTGACCTAAAGACAGAGCTGCGATTCCTTTGGGTCAGTCTCCTGGCAACCCTTCGGCTGGCAGCCAAAATCGATTTAAGAGGATTTGGGCTTTCAAGATTTAGAGCTGAGCGTTTGGGGATTCGGGGTGTGGGGGGGGGTCTTTCGAGGCGTCAGCGACCTGGCTTCCAGGGCTTCAGCGTGGACCAGGAGAACTCGTGGCGGCAGCGGCAGGTCATGTGGTCACAGCCACCGTTCTTCTCCTAGGTTCCCCAGAGAGGCCCTCAGTGAGAAAGGGTACCTCTAGCTGCCCTAGCTTTTTCCCTATCATTCAACTTCGGGGCCCTAGAGGATCACGATGGATGCCTTACTGGCCCAGTCTCGATGTACTCGTGGCAGCTCGGGCACCTCTTGACCTTAACTCCGGCGACGGAAGCCTCCGCCACCTGCGGCCAAGGGCTGCTCTGATTCTCCGAGGCTATAGAAACCAAACAGAGCCCAAAACGAGGCAAACTCTGGGCAGATCCTGAACAACTGAGGCTCTCGGCCTCCTCTCCCTCGGGCAGCTCCGTCTCCTCCCCGAGGATGCCCTCGGTCGCGTCCCACTGGTGCTCGCAGATGAAGCACATCACCATGTCGAAGCCCAGGTAGCCCAAGCCCACGCAGCCGGGCTGGGGGCAGTCGACCTCCGATGTTCCACTTAAAACTTCACCCTGTAATGAATGGAGGTGCCTGCCAACGTATCTTCAAACACTTCTACTATATCTGAGGCGTATTTCGGACACAGTCGCAGCTTGTCCCGAACAGCAGCGTTTCATGAAGCTCACATAAGCTCACTAGACCCCGAATTTCATCCGAGACTAAGACGCCCTCGCAACTCCCAGACGACGTCTGCCAAAATCCAACTGCCCCGCAGGAGCTGCAAGGTGCTGTGCAAGGCCAGGGCCTTTAGGTCCTATCAGTTGATAGGGCCTCTATTGACAAGTGCGAAGCATGACTGCGGCAAGCGATTCCTGCAACCCTTACGCCCTGCACCCAGGACCAACGGAGGACATGAGCCCCACATGGGCACAGAACAAATACCGGACCTTTTTTCACGGAAGAACATGAAGCCCTCTACCAAACCACAACAATCCCAGCACCGCCCCGAGACCTGAGCGCTGCAAAACCACCAAGCCCTGAGATCTGATATAGAGGAGCCCTTGTGAGTTCGAACTCTCAGAACCCCCTTCTGAATCCTAGGAGCCGACGCCTTTGTAAGGCACTCTTATAATCATGTGGTCCCGACCTGAACCGCGGGTGGATAGAGGTAGCTCCGCTGCAGGCGCTGTCGGCGGTCCATATCCGCAAGAAGCGGAGAAAGCCTCGGAGCCTCCACAGAGGCTCCCTTCACCAGGCGCCACCTCGGCTGTGCTGGTTCTTTGTGCTCTGGGCTTTGGAGGTGTGTTCCCAAGTGGTGCTTGAGGACCTGCAAGGTTGGGCTTGGGATTTGGGGGGAGTTTCAAGGTGCAAATGGTGCTATGTCTTGTGGTCTGTTTGGGTTTCAAAGGTCAAGGTGCCCTCTAACACAGTCGGGGCAGTGTCTTTTTGGGTTGCAGACAAGTAGGCTAAACCTCAACATCACAAAATAGCATGGACTGGCGCAGTTTCGGATCTGGAAGGGCGAAGGTGAGGTATTATGTGTTACTATGTGCAGGGCCTTAGGGAATCCAGTTCCTCCTTGCGGGTCTCTCATGCAGGTGCAAAATTCCGTCGTATCTACGAGTAAGGCTAGTCTACAAGGTTGCTTTAGTGCATGATTCTACGGCGGTTCTTGGTGGCTCTCTCGGGCTGCCTTTAAACCATTGGAAAACGCAACTCAACTTCACTACGCACTCTCAGCGAAGAATCGTAAACCCTCGCCAAAGACCTTCGAAATCTGTCTGCCCCCTTCGCCCTCATACATCAGACTCAAGGAGCCCTGTCTCCATGTTGCACTTGGGCCTTCAACTCTACGAGGTCGGAGGTGGATAAGACGAATCGCATGAGAGAGTATGCACACGATGGCTAACCCTCCCCACCAAAAACAACAAGCAAACCAAACACCAAGTAGCCATCACTTAAGCAGCATCGTAATGCCATTGTTGGAACACATGAAAGATGTTATGTGTGCCCCGGCCGCATACCCGACTCCGCCAAGTCGGCAACACCTGGGCTTCTGGAAATGTCGTCTTTGCATCCTCTAGGGACCCTAAACCCTAAACCCTAAACCCTAAACCCTAAACCCTAAACCCGACTGAGTCTGAGCCCTAAACCCTAAACCCGAATCGTAGGGTTCGGCAGTTGGGTGGAGGATTCCGGGTCTCCCGCTTCACCAAGTTCTCCTGCGGCCATCGGCAGCAGATATATGTACACACATACATCCATCCATCCATCCATACATACATAAATACATACATATATGCATGCATGCATACAAATATGCACGCATGCGTGCACATACATACATACATACATACATACATACATACATACATACATACATACATACATACATACATACATATATATGCATGCATACATGCCTGTATATGCATGCAGGTAAATACGTATGTGTGTATGTGTGTATGTATGTATGTATGTATGTATGTATGTATGTATGTATGTATGTATGTATGTATGTATGTATGTGTGTATGTGCGTATGTATGTAGGCAAACAAATGAGTGAGTGCGTAAGTACGGGTGCAGCATGTATGTATGCATGTATGCATGTATGTATGTGTGCTATACATGATGCATATGTGTGTGTGTATATATATATATATATGTGTGTTATATACGTAACTTATAGTTGGGGTGGTGAAGGTATGCGGCTTTGTGATGTACACTCATGGATTTCCAGGCTGAGGCCTCAGAATCCCGGGGCCGGCCTTGGATTTATTTGTGTTCTTCGAAGAGCCCAGCAATGCACTGGAATGCACTGGACCCGGACCCGACCCCCAAGGTACGCCTATCCCCGGTGTACGGCCTTCCCCGCTTAAGCGGGCCCCCAATTATGGAAGATTAAGGGTCAGGGCTTACTGGCTTTAGGGTAGTGTCGGTGGACGCTAGTAAGTCTCAATTTTGTATATTATGTGTGTTATCGGGATTCTTGTGCTAGCCGATTGTCAGCGCTCCCCAACTAGCTTCAACGAAAACCTTAAGTCAGCCAGACGGAATACAGAAATCGGACTTCTGAAGCCCTATGGCCCTATGTTGCCTTACATGGCCAACCTCAATGCAGACTTTTGTGCAGACTTTTGGTAACTAGGCCCATACTATAGGGATACCAACAAGAAACGATCCTCAAAGAAAGGATTGTATGGATTACTTACGGGTCTGCATTACACCACCTGGAAGGCTCGAGCAAGACTGCCAATTGATCATTGATCGCCAGTTTCGCGTTGGCCCTTCTAAAACTCTACGTGATGGGTTCGGACTTGCAAGGACCCTTACTATAATGAGCCCCGAGTTTAGGGCTTTGGGGCTCCATTACAAGGACCTTGCTATAATAAGCATCACGCAGAGGCCAAGGAGCAGGATGGCCAAAGGCAGCGTGCTGGCAGGTGGCGTCCAAGACGGCACATGTCGATCTGCTCCTGGGTTTAGTTCAGGGTGTAGGATTCTGTAGTGTCAACGGAACCCACATCGAGTGTAGGAATTCTCGGAGTTGAGGCTGTGGGAGATTCAGGATAAAGCAAGCTTCGGGTCTGGGGCTAGGGAGAGCTCGTAAGGAAAGCTGTTGGGAACCCTTAAACGGCACTTCCTGCAGAGAGCTATTGATTTTGGGAATCGCATCTCGGGTGGCCTGACAGTGAACGCCTACGGCTTCGGGATGAGGCTTTGGTTTTGGGGTATAAAACCCTGAACCCCAAGACCTCCAGGGTGTTGGGGTCTACAATACTTGAAGTCACAAGGGCTTCGGTCAGTTGGGGGCCAGGCAAAGATGAACACCGGGATAGTCACTACAGTAATCACAATTTTGTTGCTGATGCACGGGCAAGATCCGAAAATCATAGCGTTGCAAATTTAATTTAAACTCACATTATCGTGCTGGCAGTTATTCGCAGCTTACCAGTTCCCATATGACGACCATCAACTGCCAAGGTCGAAGCCCCATTGTCAAAAACCTCTTAAAAACATATCTATAGCACCCCCGTAACACCCGTTTAGTACCTCTCACACTAACTTCGTACTACCCTTAGACTGCCCCAGATACTGCCCGTTCCACCATGTCCATCCTATAACATACTAGGACCTACGAAAACATATCCTACAAGCTACCCTATAATCAGACGTACCCTAAACCCAAAACCCTAAACCCCTAAAACCCCAAGAACCC